GCTCTGGTGCAGTGCCCTTCACCTCTATGCTTCTCTTTCTCTTCTCTCTGCTTCTCTTATGTGGGGAAAGGACAAAGCAGGGCCTGAAGAATCAGAGCCTGAGCCTTTGGGGTTAAGGGGCTACTTGCAGGCCTGCCTGACAAGGCTGGAGCTCCTTGCGCCTTGCTTTTGTTGTGCAGCTCTTTCCATGTGCCATTGGAGCATGCAAAGTTCAGGTGGCAGCTCCCTTGTCACCTCAGCTCACCCACTAGGCATCAGCTGCCAACAAGACTGTGAAGCCATGAGATCCCTAGTTCATGCAGACCCTCCTGAAACCATTTGTCTCCCTTTGCACCGGCAAAAGAAGTGGACCCCTCCATAGCTCATTTCCTTGGCTTCCTCATCCTAGCACCCAGCAGAATTTGGATTACCCTGGCCCAGCTCCCTGCTTAACCAGCCAGGTATATTCACAAGCTGCAGTACTTTCCTGTCCTCCAGCATCCCCAGCAAGGTCACTTGGCCTGTGTATGTGTGGCCTGGTGTCATCTGCCTTCCTTGGAGAGGAGCTGAACCCATTGAGTGGTCTCTGCAGCTTGACATGCATGGTGAAACCCTGGTGATGTGACTTCTGAACAATGCTCTGTGTCCTTCAGCACTTGACACCTTTATCAGAATTCCCCAAATCACTCATAACTCATCCAAACTACTCCTGGGATAAAGCACTTTCCAGTACTTCCTGCATTATGAGGGCTTTCCTCATCCTCCTTTCTTCCTGCGCAGCTGTTAAGGTGTGACTGTGGCCAGTTGTCCTTTATCTCTGTTCGCTCACAGCATGAGGTGCTGAGTTTGGCTTGGAAGTCAAGTCAGTGCTAGAAGGGCTGACTGGGCAAACTCAGCACCAAGCACGGTTAAAGGTGGTAGAAGAAGAGCTGTCTCACCTGCAGACAAACCCATCCACAGAGGAAGGATGCCCAGCTCCAAACTTGCAGAGTTGTACCAATGTGACCCAGAGGAGACAAAACCTCAAGAAGAGGAGCAAGTCACATAACTTCACAAGGTCAGAACACAATCTGAACCCCTAAGTAGAGCTTTGACATCGACCTTGTCTATAAGCCCCAGTTTGCAGCAGTCCATCCCAGGCTTCACAGGAAAATGGCAGTGAGAGAAAATGTCCGCCTTTACGGTCTTTGGTGAAAAATCCTGGTTTCTGTATTTATGCCATCTGCTTCTGTAGGAGATGAGCAATGAAAATGTCCAGAGCTGAGGGGCAGGTGTACATCCTTACTATAGGATCTCAGCCAGAAGGGCTGGTTTTATCTTCTCTGGGAAAGCCTTTTCCAGTGGCAGGACACTTCAGGTGGACATGAGAGAGGAGGAGCACAACTTGCACAATAATTTTGTCCTCACTGTATCCTTCCTTAACTATAGCCTGTGAGAGAAGCACACCTTCAGGCCCCCGCACCGATGATGAAACCTATGTAAGCAGCAATCCCAACAAAGAACCTGGTTGCAGCTCAGTAGTGCAATAAGTTGTGTTTTGTAGACTCCACAGTGTAGATTTGGTTGTTAGACATGCTCACTTCTGCCAGATGACATGGTTAAATGGCTGTCTGTGGAACAAAGCAACCCAAGCATTTAGAGGAATTCACCTGTAGCCTAATTTTGAAATGTGATTAAGAGCTGAGAATCACAGAAAGGAGCTAGACTGCAAAGCCCCTGGATTCTGCCTGTCTGCATTTGCATGCTCAAAGTGGGATATTGCAGCACCAAGTCTCCTACTTGCAGAGCGCCATAATATAGGTGGATTTTCAATCCTCGTGAGATCAGTGGCTTTCAGCCTGTGCCCCTGTGAGTAATTTGCAAATGGAGCTCTCAGTTGAGGCAGCCAGGGCACTCAGGAGTCACTCTTGCAGCAACAGAAATTATCTTGGAGGAGAGAACTCCATCTGGGGAGCAGGGAAGGTTTCTTCCTGAGGGACATGGGTATTACGTCCATCCATCCTTGGGCCAGACAGCAATTGTGGCCTCACTTTTCTAGCACTACAATTGCTGCTGCAGTGTCACTGACAGGCAGTGAAGTGGTTTGTCATCCCCAGCTGTCTTCAGACGCCACTGCACATGGCAAGCATGGCCATGGAGCTGGACAACTGCTGTCCCATCTGCCTGGACAGCTGGGATGACACTGCCTCTCTGCTTCTGCTAAGAGTGCCTTCTGCAGTGGGCTGGGAGCAAGCCTGAGGACCCTCTCTGCAAGAGGAGAGTGACCTCCATCCTGTACTTGGTGTGGGGGATGGCAGCTTTGAGCCCATGTCATTCCAGCCCACAGAGCACCATGGGACCTGTTCCACCTCAGAGGAGGAGGTCCCAGGTACCCAGCTGCTCCCAGTCCCCACACTCTGGCCATCAATGGGAAGACAGCCACCTCCAGTGGCTGAAGGTACAGCAAATGAGCTACAATATGTGTGAAGTTGTACTCATTGATGAAAGCTTTCATTTTTACAGGAATTTAGGAAAAACCCAAATCTAAACCAATAATCATGGACAAAACTATGCCCCACATTGTTGTACTGTGGGGATGTGAGGGGAGTAGAAAAGGAGAAAAGGAGAAGTTTAGGTGCAGCTGCCCTGCAGTCAGCACAAATGTCTGGAAGAACAGGCATTTCTGCTGCTGGACAATACCTTTTTCCTGACCCAGAGATGCCACAATTGAGAAGTGTTTTAAAAGCTTTAATTCCATTTTTAGTCTCATGAACAGGGTGTGACAATACACATGTTATAATCCACGCCATCACAATCAGAAGATGACTATTTCCTATTTACAATACACTATATGCATTTCTTGACCTGTCAGCTTTTTGCCACACCATGCTGTATATGCCTTAAAGCCAATCATCTAGAACTACCCCTCATGTGTCCTATTACAATGCATCTTTCATAGTTCTATTTCTTCAAAGCATCTAGTCTTATTTGTAAGGCCATCCTGTGAAACTTTTTTCTAGCTCCATTTCTCTCTCACCAATATCTGTTCTATTCCATGACATTTTTAAGTCAGCATTTCTTGTCTCAAAGCTTGCATGTGGATGCATGCTATGTGGGCTTTCTGTCAGGCCTTGAGAACTCTACAAATCCATTTCCCACAGTCTGCAGTAGGCTCTGCTCAAGTGATCTCCCCTGCAGGAAGCTGTGATCATGTATCAAACTCACTGATCTCCTAAGCACTTAGCTGCTCCCAATCCCCATTGCTCTGCAGCAGTATCAGACCTGAGACTAGGACTCCTGCTGCCCCTAGTTCCCACAGCACTGCAATAGTCCTGCCATCAGCCGTGTGGCCACTGCCCTGGGCTCAGTGAGCATCTCCTGCACTACGTCTCAGCATCCCTCCTCTACCTTGCTGTTCTCCACCACCTGCTGTCACAGTTGCATTGGGAGCAGAGGCGGCTGTTTGAGGATGGTAGGAAGCAGCAACAATGCAGTACCTTGTCCCATCCAGCCTGCACTACTTTAGCCCAAATGAGGCTTTGTTCCAGCTTCTATGGGCTTCCCTGCACAGGCACACAAGGAGCTTTGCCCACCAGTTTATTGACACCATCACAGGCCCAGTGTGGAGGTCCAACATCAAATGGGCCCGGAGGTCAGCAGTGCAGCTGGAGAGTGGCAGAACAGCCCCTCTACAGTCCCTGATGCCACTCCAGGGGGTCTCCCAGGCCAGCCTTCATGGGGTCCCAGCAGCAGTTCCCATTCTGTCCCCGTTCCTACGCCTGGGGAGCAAGAAGGAGCCTGGGAGAATCCAGAGGAGGCTGTGCCTGGTTGTTCCACGTGCAGCTGGTCAATGAAAGCTCACCTGGGGCATCCCAGCAAGCCTGCAAAGGGAGGGCCAGCAGCTCTGAGGACCCTTCCCAGACCCTCAGGAAGACAGCCCACCATCCAGTGACAGGATTGAGAGGGCCTGAGGATACAGCTAAATCACTCCAGGCTGCAGCTGGGATATATGCCAGCCCCTTGTGGTCTTAGCCTTCCAAATTTATTTAGCATTTATTAAAAGAAAATGAAAGCATGAAAACTGCAGAACATGTTTTTGTGTTATTAACTAACGCTGGTGGTATTGCTCTCCCCACTTGTAATGTTTCCCTCCCCTTTCCTGGTTCTTTGACCACTGATTTTTCATGTGTTTCCTGAGCATTATAAGTTTGCATTTCTGCAGTTGATCCCAGGGCAGATGTTTCCAGCCCGTGCCCCACCACTCAACCTCGCAAGTTCTCCTCCTCACCCTGTGCCCCACATCCCAGGGCTCTGCTCTCCTGCCGGCTTGCACTGCCCGCTGCAGCCTCACTACGGCAGTGCCCAAATCCCTCCTCCTGCCCGGAGTCACGACTTGCTGCTGCTCTCTGAGTCAATCCAGGCTTGTACCCTGTCAAGGCAGGAGCCCCAAGAAATTGAACAAGGGGAAGTATGAAGTGCTGTGTCTGCTTGCAGTGAAAGAGAAGTGGGTGAGTGTTCAGAACAGGCAAATGAGCAAAGACAGGCTGAAATGATGAATATAATTCATTCAAGACTTTGCCTCACCTTGCCTTTCTTTTGCTAGTGGATAAAATTGTGGAGAGGAAGGGGAGCCAAGGTGAATGCAAAATCCCACAGTAGACAGCTGGGGAAGAGGGCACTCAGAGCAGCTCCCTGCATCTGGTGGAAGCGATTACAGGAAGGGGTGCACCAAAAATGGACAGGAGATTGGCTATTTTCATATTTCCAAACTTTTGCGCTATTGAATCCCCCTGCCACCTCTGCTGGGAGAAAAGGCAGGTGTGTGCCACAGGTGCTTGCTGCAAGTTGCCCTGGCAGCTGGAAGGGAGCAGAGGGGGACACACGCTAATTCATTTCACCAGGAAACAACTCTAGAGGCACTCGAGTGCAAGCACTGGAAACACTGCAGCCGTGCTGTCTCGAGTTAGGTACAATATGTGGAGATGTGGAAAGCGTCTCCGAGGCAGCACACTCCCCCTTCTTGCAGTACACAGACAGCTGTGTGCGAGGATCACTTGCATTTGCTCCTGACCAGGGAAAGGCTCAGTGTGTTGAGCAATGTGAGTCCAAAGGAATGTAACCTGTTCCTTTGTGTTTGGATTTACTGACCAAGCACTGAGCTGTCTTGGCTCCTGGGGACTGGAGAAGCACATGAGCAAATGCACTTTTCTCCCCTGGTGGGAAGCTGGTTTGATGCCTTATTACCGTAATTGCCAAATCCATCAGTCATTGCAGGCTGTTTTCAAGACTTCATCCTCTTTCACCCTCTGCTCAGGAAGGAGAGCCAGCTTATTTTGACAATGCTCACAGAAAGGTGCTTGGCATTTGTTTATTCTGCACTGTACCTCTGGTCATCCTTGTTCTTCTCACTCTTTAAAGGTAAGCTAATCTCTGTTTGTCCAGGGCTTTCATTTTTTTGGTAGTGGTTTGGGTTTATTGTTGCTGTTGTTTTGATTTGTTGTTTGGTTTGTGTTTTTTTTTTAATCTTCTAAATGCTAGTTACATCCAACTCCAAATATTTTTCTCAGTAAGTCTTGTATCTGCTTATATTTTGGACTTCATTAGAGTCCCATGCTGGTTTAACTGACTTTTGTAATCAGTTTGGGTAAGTTTGTGGATCTTACAGTGCTGGGATCTTACATTTTTTTAGAGAAGGAAGAAGCGAGTGAGTTTGGTTTTGTTGTTTCTTTTTTTAATTAAAAGTGAGTAATTTTAACTTCCGTAAATTAATTGAAATGGTTGTGTTTCAAAAGAAATATTTTCTTGCTTTCCTGAAAAATGTAACCTTACCATGGTTTTTTGACAACAGGAAATTATAACTTCAGGCTGAGCAGAATGATTTGGGAACGCTGTAGGTGTGTGAGTACAATGGTGTTCTACAGAGAAATACAAGCAGAAGAAAATTCATAACTGTTTATTCTCTGTGCATCATGTAGAAATATTAAATCTGTATAAATATATAAATTTATTAATTCTGGTTTGTTTTTATTAAACATACTCTTAGTATGCTTAATAAAAACCATTAAGACAGAGATGGATATATAGCTGAAAATATCTAATAAAAATAATGGGATTCTGTTAGTCTAAGAGGTGTCAGCTCTGACTAAGCTGTCTTCAGAAGTTTCAGCATGGTGCTAAAAAAATAGGAGCTGTGTGATTATTTCAAAACATTCAGGGTAGCAAGGCTGACAATAAAGTGTTTTTAAGTGAGAATGTTGAAATAGCCCCAGTCATGAAAGATATTCAGTATTCTACACAAAATGTGTTTTTATGGGTCCCTTTCAGCTGCAACATAAATACCTGCCGCAACCAAAAATTCTAAAACTAAGTATTCTAGGTGTGAAGGACCATATTTTGTTTCTCACAATTTATGTATAAAGAAGGATTGTCTTTTTAAAGCAGAGAAAGTTGTCCATCTATTTCATAAGTGCAAGGGCACTGGAAACTTGCATATATGGGATGTTGCACTGGACTATTCATGCCACATAGATAATTCCTCATTAATTCATCTGAAGCTGTAAAACATCTGGGCATTTCATTATTACAGATCCACATTTCATCTACCTAATGTAGTAATGGTACTGCAGAAAAATATTTCCCCACCTTGCTGAATTAAGAACCTTGCCATCTTCAAGATATTTCTGTGCTACTGTAGGAGCTGAACTAACCGGCGGGTTATAGCATCTAGTTATGAGATAAGTAATTTTGTGGACATTCCCATTTTGAGTAGTTGTGTGTCATGTAAATCCTTCCTTTTAAATAATGAGTAATCACTAATTTATCAGGGGATGCCTAGTTTATCTAAACATCACATGAAGACAAACTGCTTTTATAAATAATTCAGAGAATTTTTTGTTAGGTGCTCTTACCAACAGCTTACAAGTGTGCACTTTTACAGAAAAATGCGAAAGCAGAATAAAATTAATCTCTGATAATGTTGGTCTGTAACTGACTTCTGCTTTACAGATTTTTTTAAGTAAAAAAAAAAAAAAAGAAAAAAAAAAAGAAAAAAAGGGAAAAAACCCCAGAAAGACCTGGGAATTGAGCAGTGGGGGCCGAAGAGAAAAAAGTCAAGATGATATTAACATGTTATCAGTAGCAGAGTTTTTTGTTTTTTAACAGTAAATCCAGATTAACTTCCCCCTGGGTTCCTTAGTTCACCCACAAGGAAGTCACACCAAATTCAAATCATAGCTAAAATCACTCTCACATAACACTGAGTTTTTTCAACATTGTTCATAGCAATTTATCAAGTACTGAAAACTCCTGTAGGGCTGTTTGACAGGAAAGTTGTCACAAGAACTAGATAAAAACCAAACACAAACAACACATGAAGAACTCAGTTTTTTTTCCCAGTTCTTTCCTCAACTGTCTGCCTCAACCTGACTTTACTTGCAATAATGCTGGAAGCCCCAGTAGTCATGTCATTTAAGTTGGGTCATTGCAGCCCTCCTTCTCAAAGGGCTGATGATGCTTTTTTTGAGACATGGGTCTAAGGAAAAATCAGGAAACTGGTTTTCAACCTTCCTATATCCCAGGTGAATACTGTCAGGGTCAGACATCCCTTCCAGGCCAGGGGCAATCCTTGAAGAAGCACCCAGAATGTAGAAGGACCCAGTGAGTCTCAGCAGCTACCTAACAACTTTGGGTGGAGAAATTTGCAAAACCTAGTCTAAGGATTGATTGCAAAGGAGGGATCATTCCTGCTCCTTTTTTTTTGAGTGTGATGCAATCTGAGGGATAGGGTGCAGACAACCCTGCAAGTACATTCTGAGAAACATGTCACAGTGATCACAAAGATGCATAGCCTCTCTGAGGAGTTACCTTCATATCAGGGCATGGTCACCTAGAGGGTTTGAACAGCCAGGGAGGTTAAACTCACACTTGGCTAGTCTCCAGTCATACCATGTATTCTAATTACTGTGTCTTTATATCCTTTTTTATTTCTCAAGTGAGACCATTACAGTGCCCACATGCCGCACAGAGCAGAGTCAGAGCTCTCAGGTTCTTTGTTCTGTACAGACTGCCATCAGGGTCGTATCTGGGCAAGTGGCTTTGAAAAGCCCAGCAAAGGCAAAGGCAAGCTGAGGACAACAACCTTTCTCTGCAGTCTGGTGGGAATATAAGTGCTCAGCTGTATGGGACAAATCCTATGGCAGGGGATGCTGCAAGTGAACTAACCAGCTCAAATATGTAAATGATGAAGTAATTCAGCCTGACTTGGTGTACCCAGCTGGTGCAAGCAGCTTTTCTTTGGATCACTCATAAGACAGATTCGAATTGCAATGCTACACCCAATTTCATGCTTTTTCACACCTTTGCTTATTTCGATGGGGTCTAGTGATCACATCAGAAGAGAACTGATGATCTCTTGGAGCAAATCCTCACAAATTTCTTGGTTCACTTCCATGCAAGCAGGTGCTGTTTCTGCAACAGCAGAAGCATTGGCAAGATAGCCTCAGAAGGCCAGATTCCCCTGCCAGGCAACAATTTCTCTAATGTGAGCTAATTAGACTGAGGTGACACGAGTTGAGAGATCTGTGTAGTAGGAAGAACAAATAATGTTCTGTAAATACCTATATATGGAGTCTAAACTTCAGGCCTCAGCTGTTTAAGCCTGATAGAACTACAATGATGTGTTTTAATCAAACTTATTTACTCCAAAGAGACACAGTTGAACAGATAAAAGGGTTCCTGTGCCTTACGGGAGAATGGCGTAATATCATTGGTAATTTAGGTGGTTGGTGAAGTAGCTGTATTTTTACATCTCATAACTGTTATCAGAGTAGAACCATATGTGAAAGTTAAATCATTTAGAATCTTTCATACCTTAATTAGAGGTCTGAAGGTTGTATTCACCTCAACTCTCCGTATTGTCATTGACCTACATGAGCTAGGTCTTGGCTTGTACTGGTAGCTCTTTTCTTCCATACTGATGGCATAAGAAGATGCCACACATGCAACTTGCAGACGTGGCAAATTGCTGTCAGATCCCTGCCACTACTTTAATATCTAATAGCACAGACAGCAGAGCTGATCACTCTGAATGCTGAGAGCGTGCTAAGGCATCGCATGTGCATGGAGCCAAGGGAATAAATGTACTTGTCCATGGCACGTGCACATATACTCTGTTATCAGGAGCACTGGTGCTATTGATATCTGTCAATACATTTAAGACAGGGTCCTCAGGAAGCCCCTATTTCCTCTGCATTACTGTCTGCTACAGTAACTTGCTGTTCATGCTTGCTTCTTGAGGTTCACTTTATAGTTCAATGAACCAGACCTTGTGCTCAGTCAGTAATCTTCTATGCGCATTCACTGGCACAGCTCTAAGGCTGATCTGTATTATCATGGGCACAGCTGTGACAGTGGAGCTGGCCCAAGCTTCTGAGAAGTTGCCAGGCTCTAGGAGAGTTGGAGGTATTTCTATGTGCATTTGCTGATAGGGATCTGAGCTAAATCTTGTATTAGTTCTTTTCAAATGTAACTGGAAAAAGTGGGCAGGTCCAGAAAAAGCAACTGAGTCATGACATCACCAGTGCCTATTGTTACATGCAGCTATTGGTATAGCAGTCTTGCATGTAGGGAAGGGTCCAGAAGCGGATGAGAAAGTAGCATCCATCTGGTCTTTGGGATGATGCCAGATGGCACCTTGGGTACCTTCAGCCTTGCTTCAGCTTGTAGAGTTTTCTGATGGCCTCAGAGCAGAAGTTCTCGTTCCAGGTAGAGGTTTTATCTCTTAAAGGCAGCTTCAGAACTTTTCTTTCTCTCTGGTTTATTTTTCAAAGGCCTGTGGAAAAGAACATGAGTTAGTTATGGTGGTAGCACATACAATTTCATTTGCATGTGACAAGCAAGGAGGGAGGTATAGTCTCTTCAGCTCTAAAGTGTGATTAAAGTAGATGAAAACCCTTTGCATCAGTCCTGACATGGTTGTTTGAAGATGTCTACTGACTAGAGATCCTACATAAACTAATTAAGAAAGAGATCAAATCTGACTGTGACAGGTAGGACTAGCACTGGCAATCAGTATCAACCAGGAAACGAGAAAGGCAGACAGGAGTTTATTGCTGTTTTAGAACACAGTCCTGAGAAAATATGGCTTAAAGAAAGAGTTTTGCTAATCAAATACTTTCTGCATTGAGCAAAACAGCTGATGAGAAGGCTGAGACCAGAACTAGATGGAGTGTTTGGAAGTAAGACTCTCCCCACCCAGGGCTTACAATTAAGTCAGTAAATTGCAATGGAAAGGAACCTGTAGTCAGCATGAGTACTTAGGTATGTAAACAGTGAGGTGCATGTGTCTCCGTCTTGCATTGCTGTCAATTGGCTTTGCTCAATTAGAAAGTCTGTGCTTAACGGAGTGCTGAAACAGATGC